AGGAGCCAGGGCTTCTTTCACAACATGGTAGTTCCACTTTTTGGGTTTCGCTTCAAATGGAAGCCAATTTTCGTTTTACAGCACTCGAGCGGCTGGGAGTACTTCCGGCATCTTCCGGCCACATGATACGCCATGGATATGATGGACATGTAAATATGTTGTGTTTGCTTTGCTGGAGGGCAGTTGTCTTTTTCGCACGTTGCGTAATCAGCTAGTGTCTTGCCTTCCTTCGCATCAAGATTGGTGTTTGCTTCGATTTGCTTCAGCTGCTTTTGACATTCCTTGGTGTGTGAACGTCGTGGCTGGGATATATCATCAGCTTGGCTTAGGCAAATGGCTACAGGAAACCGTAGTGCTGTGCCTCAGGGCTTGCGTTTAGGCAATGAGACGGATCGGAAGGACAGATATAGCAACTTGCAGCTAAAGGATATCCTATTTGTTTAGTTGTTTTTTCCCCGCATCGGTCTGCAATATGTGCACTTCATGGCAACAATGCTTGTTTTGGATGTGTGCGGTTGAAGCTATTCCTGGAAGCGCCACATTCCAGTTTCTACATGCCAAATTCCCTTCAAGCCCCATGGGAATTGATAAGAAGGGGAAAGTCACAAAGACACACAGTCTATCTTCAACAGTGAACTGATCGCTCTGCAATTTGCCGGAAGCACCACATAGACGAGGGCCTGCATTATGTGAAAGAAGACATCGGTGCGTTTCTGTGTTTGTGTGTGTGTGTGTGTTTTCCTGATTTAAGGGCCAGAACCATGGGGTTTCTTGTCACCCGATGTTCTGGATTGGTAGAAGACTCAGGCCACCAGCAAAACCAATGGCTAACATGTGGCAAATAGGCAATATTGTTGTAGACTTAACCAAAGGGATATCAGGGGTGGGTATGTTTTCAGCTTTTCCGACCTTTGTTTGGCGAGACGAAACTAGGCGAAAAGGGAAGCAAAGGCAACCCCGTGGGCGGTTGAAGGGCTAATTCGGCCAGCGACAGGCTGACTGTTGCTCAAGGATTACTCTCACAAATTCACATGGAACCCAAAAAAGCTTGCCGACAAAACTTGGTGGCTCCCAGCCATTTCCTTAGCTTTTTAGCCTTTTAGTTTTCAGTGGTAGTTTCCATTTCGCCCACTAAAAGTTAAACTTTTAGCGGGGGATCAGAAATCGGGCAGCCCAGAAAAAAGGTGAGGCTAATTTACTTCCTGCTGTTGCAAGCGCAGGAAGTGCTAGAGGATGCCACCCCATCGCTTCTTGGCAGCTCTTTGGGGGCCGACTCGGGTAAGCCGACCTTTCATACCTTCCGGGTTCCCTTATTTTGTTCCCCCTTTTTTTTCTCGGTGCCCTTAAAGGTAGACATTCTGTTAGGTATCCTTTGATTTCCTGGAGCAGGCTCGTATTTGTGCCCCAATCCTTTTTGTCAGAATCCTGGAAGCTGACAAGCAGGAAGACGAAGACCGCAGGGAATTCGAAGACTACAACTATCTTGAAAAGATAATCTCTTAACTTCCATGTTGTTTTGGAAGCTTGTACTTTGCGGCCGGCGTGGCCAGAACACTCCGGGCAAATGGGGATGGTGTTCAGTTGCTCGCTTTGTTCGAGCCCTTTTTTCAGCAGAACTTCCGCTTCATCTTATTTCCGACGTTGAGGCTAGCATAGTATGCAGACACCTAAAACATAAGCCTCAAACACAATACCTCCTTGAGCTTACTTAGATTGCATTGGATCGTTGCAATGCATCTAATAAAAGGTACGTTGCCCTTTGTTCTCAAACGTTTAGTTCATAGTTTTGAAAGTGCTTATAAACACCCTGAGCCTAACAACCCCTTACAATGGGTCCATCATTCTTTCCAATGGGCGCAATCCGCAATCCCAACCACACTTGCTCGAATGTCTTTCCCAAGAGAGGAAGGATGGTGAGCCAATCAACCGGATTGACCAATCGTTGACCTACCTTCGGCATCCGCTCGAGAAGGAAGGACTTTTGCAGTTCTTTTGGTGGTTGCATACTAAGGGTTAGGTTGGAAAGAACGCAGGGCGGGTTCAGTGTGTGTTTTGGAAGGGGACCCCCCACCATGGTGGTTTTCCTTTTCGTGTCCCTTGAGGACGACCACAAAAGGGAGCTCGGTATCGTACAAAAAACACACACACACACACCCAGTACAACCATCCACTCCTGATATGACTATGGCTTTCCTTTTTTAACAGCTGGGGGCACGCAGTTTCTTTTTGTCCATTTACCAAGGTGCCATTTTGGTACATGTTTTTGACCAGCCATTTTTTCCAATGACTGAGTGCTGCGGTTAATCCATGCGAGGTCCGGGGAGCGAGAGCTGCAAGGGGATTGAGATGTTTGGGGCTCTCCCAACAGAGCTTCCTGATTCCAATGTGTCACCGGTTTGTTGAGTTGTTTTTTTGATTGGCAGCAGCTTTCCATGGGTGCTCGTGTCGAGTAGAGGTGATTTGTTGTCTTGTTTGTTCGTTTGGCAGCAGCTTTTCATGGGTGCTCTCAGGTATAAGAGGTTCAAATCCGCGCGAAGCTCTGTACAGATCTCCGCTTCTTCGGCTCACCGAAAAGGGGATTCTGTCGGGCAGAAGGCTGCGAGGTGTTTCTTCCTCTCACTGTCTCTGGCATACGTCTACGGCCCGAAAACCAGAAACCAGAAACCAGGATGGGAGATCTTTCAGGACGTCGGATCCCTGGGGATCCACTTTGGATCGATTTATTCCCCTGGAGGCGAACCTGAAGAACTTGAGGCAAGACCCCTTGATGTCTCCCTTGGAACTAAGCCAAGACATCAGGGTTGCGGGATCTGTGATACAAGAGAATCCCCTCTTTGTATTGGGGGTTAGTCTTTGAGAGGCCCTTTTGGTTGTATCACAGAAATGGGCATGTCCCACAGCCCTGCAAAACATCGACGTGCAGGCAAGCGCAGGCTGCAGATGCACTGGTTTGTGTCGCAATCTCATACCAGTTGGTTGCTCTGTTTCATGCAGGAGTGTCCTTTTTTGTTGGGGCACGCTCATTGGCCCGTATGTCGAGCCTCACTTCAGACATTGCGAGGCGCAAGCTACGCAGACTTGCCATGAGCAGGCGCCAACATGACGGGATCAGAAGAACCGGTACCCTCAACCCCACTAACAGATGACACTTGTGGGAGGTTACCTGGCAGATCAATTTCCTCATGGAGAGACCCCCTGTCAGGTGCCATGTTAGTGGGAGGGAGGGAACTCCCTTCGAAAAGCCACTGGTTGATGTGAAGCTTTGGGAGAATGTAGGCCAAGCTTTGTATATCGCAGACATCCCAACCCAAATGCACGGACTGCTCTGCCAAGAAATGTAGGCCTTCCGAAGCACAAAGCACACACACACACACACACCCAAAAGCCGCAACCAAAAAGGCGTATCCAAAAGAGACTCGCACAGATTAAGGGTCTGTTTTTCCGTGGGAGTTTCTCAAATTGGGACTCGGACCATGGTTGGTATTTGAAGAGACACCAAAAGGAATCCAAGCTTAGGGCACCAAGAACATGAGGCTCGATGGTTACGCGCAAACAGATGTTGCTAACGGTTGTTTTCTTAGTTTCCCTTTCAAGGCCTGCAAGAAAGAGGGTCCCCCATGTGACATTGCATGACACGCTTCGCGGCTATCACCTTTGAAGGCTTGATTCTGAAGTTCAGAAGGGCAAAGGCTGCTGAAGCTTTTGAGAAGGTCGAGTTCAGCAGAAGGATTCATGCAGAAGGAGTCATTGCTGGGCGGCTAAACATAAGTGTAGGCAACACTAACTTTCTGAGATTCAGCGTTGGTAATGGGAACTTAGTATTGCCAATACTAAATCAAGTATTGGCAAGCTAAATGTTGCTCAGCTCTCACATTAGGCCGAACAAACCATGTACTAGATCATGTTCCAAATATTTATGCTACCCCAACAAGTGAGATATTGTTGGAGGAGACCCCAGGTTCGTTCAGGGTACCGCACAAAGCTTCGCGAAATCCCCGATCAGCAAAGAAGCAAGAACAGGCACCCGGCACCCCACCCACGTGCACCTCGGATCGTTAAATTAACGGCAACCTTTGCCCTTCCAAAACCTGAACTGCACTGAAATGAACGTGAAATTATGGATGTCCACGACCACATTTAGCATTGCCAATACTTAACTGTTTCTTTCCTGCACTTAATCTATTGTTGCTAGTACTTAATCTTAGATAGCCACCCCAGAAGCGCTTGCCAGTAAAGAGGCCCCCCATAAAGAGTCACATTGAAGAGGAGGGGATCTTGTGGGCTGCCCTCGTTTCAGTGGTTGGCATTGATTTGGATTTTACCTCTTGAAGCAAAAAAACGCTTCCCAGTTGTTTGGTGTTTTTCCCCACCCGACAGGGTTGGGTGTTTAGAAGTTAAGTGACATCCGACCTGCGCGCCGGGCCCGCTCGCCGACTATGACAGACAGATGTGATGTACAGACAGACAGAAGTGGTGACAGACAGCTGCGACAGAGCCTGTAGAGAGGGACAGATCTCACAGACAGATGTGACAGATAGCTGTGACAAGAAGCTGTGACAGGTACTGCTGTGACAGAGCTTGTGGCGACAGCCCGAAGCCTGAGGCTCCCACAGCCCGAAGCCTGAGGCTCCCACAGCCCAAAGCCTGAGGCTCCCGCCATCTCCCGCCAGTGGCCGGCCGCGACAGCCGCGACAGCCGCGACAGCCCGAAGCTTGAGGCTCCCACGCGGCTCCCGCCAGTTGCCGGGCCTCAAGCAGGCGCTTTTTGCTGTCAGCATCCTGCCCAGCGAAATCCCCGTGTGCTTGCGCAACTGTCGCGCGCGATATGTATCCCCCCCAAAGATGTCATGATTTGCATTGCTTGCAATGACACAATGCGCCATGCTATGTACACACCTCAGGCAGACTGAAGTTTTGCTCAGGGGCCCTTTTGCCGGTTTTCTCTTGTCAGGCTTCGTTGTTCGCTGGGGCCAAAAGGGTCCGCGTGTCCCGACGAGGAGCATGGAGACTGCAGACAGCAGCTGGCAAGATGGGGGCCTCGGCGTGCGTCGCCCTTGGAGAGTCAGAGGTGAGGTGCGGTGTCGTGTTTTCGGTTGCGATGTTCAATAGCCTCAAAGAAACACCCACCATTTTGGGGGTTCCAACAGACAGACACGAATATATATATATATATATACTGGCCATGAACTTCCCACCCTCTTGGGCTTTGATTCGTGGCTGAGGCACCTTGCGAAGGAGGCTCGCAAAAAATAAAAGCAGCCTTCGCTAATGGGACCTGATCAATCCCGAGTCACGTCACCAAGACGGTTTTCCGTTTGAGACAAGGTTCCCTTGTTCAATGTTTTACGCCTACAAAACTCACCTGAGTACTGCTAAACCCTCCGCTCCAAGAAAAATGAATCCAACAAGGCATCAATTGTTTGGCGCAGTTTGGAAGCCTGTAGATGGAGGACATCCATTTCGCACCAGTATGGATGACTAAATTTGTCCCCTTGCTGTGAGGCACAGTGAGGCACAGTCTCAGCCAGAAGTGGCAGAGGCAGCTATATAAAACTGTACAGGAACAATGGGCAATAATGGGTGGTTTTGCAGGTTGGAATCTGTTTCCTGGACTTCAGTTACTTTTTGGGAGGATCATTTTAGCGCTGAACGGAAAGCTTAGACTTTTTCTGGTCAATCCACTCAGGAACTGCAATGGTTTTGTTGTGGCAATAGGAAACCATCTGCCGCTCTGGCTCAAGTTCAGCAGCCATGGGCGTCATGGCTGATTGGCGCCGGGCGCTCAGGAGACATCAGATTCCTCATGAGACCAACATGTGCTCTCAAAAGGAGGAAACTGCAAAAAAGGTGTGTGTGTGTGTGTGGGTGTGTGGGTGTGTGCGTGCGTGCGTGCGTGCGTGCGTGCGTGCGTGCGTGGGTGGGTGGGTGGGTGGGTGGGTGGGTGGGTGGGTGGGTGGGTGGGTGGGTGGGTGGGTGGGTGGGTGGGTGGGTGGGTGGGTGGGTGGGTGGGTGGGTGGGTGGGTGGGTGGGTGTGTGTGTGTGTGTGTGGGTGGTTGCGTGCGTGCGTGCGTGCGTGCGTGCGTGTGTGCGTGCGTGTGTGCGCGTGTGTGTGGTGCGTGTGTGGGTACACCCAATCGTCATTCTATGTACGCATCTCCAAACCTTTTTTGTGTCACTCAGGGGACCAGGGGGGCCACTTCCCAATTCCAGCCATTACTATACGGTTGGAAGCGGCTTTTAAGAGCCGCTGACTAATGCCCATTGTTGGCAATCACGAAAGCTATCTTTCGGGCTGGCGCCCCACTCTTGACTGCAGCAAGCAATTGGACCAATCATTCTTGCTCACCATCTCCCCATCTTGCCGCTCTTGCAGGCTCCTGAGAAACATGCCCACCGTTTAGCATTTTGGGTGAGTCTTACATTGACCAACTAACGCAGCCCCAGTTAATTAGCGTGGGAAAGGTCCTCTTGGGTCTTCATCACTCAACTCGCCGGGGCAACAGGCTTATCTGTGCTGTTCTCTCACCCTTTCAGCCCACTCTTTGCTTTACTCTCCACTCCGCCTTCTCCCTGCTCGTCTTCCCAACTCTTCCGTCTGCTGTTCTCTCTGTGCTCTTCTCACGCTTCCTCTCACGAACATACATCTGTGGGCCACCTGGAAGATGAATTTCTTGTTCAATGGACTTATTGTCAGGTGCCATGGCAACCTGGGATGAAGGGTCACCTTTCCCATAACAATGCGGCCCCCAAAAGTTGATCTTTTATTTCTGGCTCCCATCCCTGGAAGATGAATTTCTTTTTCAATGGACCTCCACGTGCCATGGCAACCTGAGCCACAATCAAAACCCGGGTAGATGAAGGTTCACAGGGGAGAATCCCAACCATAAATAGCTGCGGATATCCGCCTGCTTAATTCTCGGCCATGTTGATACCGAGTTTTGATTATGACTCACCTGGGAGGAAGGGTCACTTTGATCTCTCGCTCACATCCCAACCAACTGACTCCTTGACCGCCCGAAGACCGGCCAAGGCCAGCGACCGCGGGCCGCACGGTGGCTCTGCGCGCTGGCGGTTTCGGTCCTCGTGAGGCGAGCTCTTGGGGAAAAGTGACTTGGTGGCTCCCAACCATCCGGTTCCTTAGTTTTTTAGTTTTTTAGTTTCCTAGTGTTTAGTGGTGAGTTCCATTTGACCCACTAAAAGTTAGATTTTCAGCGGGGGATCTGGGAACAGCTCTTATTTTAGATCTTGAGTTTGTAGTAATTTGCTTGGATCGAATCATGGCAGAGCAGGGTTGGACAAAGTTTGGGGATTCTCTAGCTGGGAAGGTTGCAATCTCAGTCGCTAGATTGATTTCATATTCATTTATAAGTTCAGTTGAAGTAATTGTGGAGGTTCTGAATTACCAATGGCAAACCAAAGCCGCCGTAAGATGCGGTAAAAACAGGGACAACTATTTTGTCGCAATTGTCCAAACATATCTTACTTCGTTTCGATTTCAATCATGTGCGATTGGCTAGATTTTGTTTCCTGGAGTGCAAAAAAGTCAAAGATCCTCAAGAGCACCTGGACAAAGCCTCAACACAACCCAACAAACAATCCTCAGACACTCTTTCTAGAAGTAGCCACTCACCTGTGCCAAGAGTTCCGGGCGAACATGTTACTTTGTAAATGTGTTGCAATATTTGTTTGCAGTTTCTTTCCTTTCTTCTTTCCTTTTGCGGGGGGGGGGGGGGGTGGGTGGGTGGGTGAGGGGTGGAGCAACCTCTTTGTTTGTTTGGGTGTTGGGCTGGTTTGATCCAGTAGACTATATCTCAGTTGTCCTGCCATTTAAACATGTTTACATTGGATGTCAATATTACATTTGGCTGTCACCTGTTTCTATCATGTCCCATGGTTTCATAGTGAGTTTCGGAAGTGTCAATTTCATCACACGTAAGGTGTCAACATATCCTTTAAACCAGGGAACAATTTATACTTGTACACACATACACCTACATCCCCGTATATAAACATATATGTATACATGCATCTGGGGACTAGAAACGGCACAAACAAGTGTCAAACACACGTATTCCAAAAATTACACAATTCTCCACATCTCCCTTCTAGGATGTACACCCTGTTCCACTTCACCTCAATTTGCGGTAAGTTCGAATGCTTTCTGAAATCCAGCTTAGACATGGGTTTCCTTATTCTACATGTTAAATAAGCACTTGGAGGCACAAAGACGAAGATTACCAACGCCACCTCTCAGAATCACACGTTCACTCGAAGACCACTCTCTCACTTAGTGTTCCGAATGTTCGGAGTTTAAGACTTCGACTATGTTGCCACTTAGGATCACAGATCACAAACGCAATGATAATATTCTAAACCTGTATAGAATTTGAAAGAGAGAAAGGTAACCAAACGGGTGATGAGTACTTTGGCATAAGTAAACAAGATACAGTTGCGTGCTACCAATACGCCATTGAACAAGATACACTATTTGCCGTTATCTACTCAATAACGCGATCGCATATCGAATGCTGCACTTCGCCATCAGACATACTTCATAAACAAAGTCAGTGCAAACAACATACGTAGAATTTTGCATACGAAGAACACGTGCCTCCACCGTCCCCAGCCCTCACAAGTTTGGCGGGAGCTCGAAATTCTTGAGCCTTCTCTTGGTGTCCCTTAAAACCCCATGCAAAATGGGGGATCTCCCCCTGTGTTCGAACACCCGTAAAAACCCAAGGCAGAAGGATCATGTTCCCCCAACTTTTCTGGGCAGACCCCGTTTCGGAGGCATGGCTTGACGGCTTTCTCCGCTGGGCCATCGGTAACCACGTCTAGGCGTGGCAAGATTCAGTCGACTTGGCCTTTTCTTGCGGCGGGGATTCTCAAAGTCAGAACAGGGGCTCGCTTCCCCCTAATCCACCACTGCGGAGTGACTTTGATCATGTTTAAAAAATAGGCCAGTGACTGGTTGGGACTGTTTGAAGCAGATAATCATGCAGAGCGCTTGAACAGGGACCTTGGGGCTTTGGTGGCCTTGGATTGGACTACTTCTCCCTTGGAAGAAAAGGGGGGGCTCCACCACCTCTCCCAAAGTAAAGTGGTGTGACTGTCAATATGGCCAAATAGGGCTGCTCATATTTCTAGGGCAGCGGGCGGAAACCTGTTGAACGCCTGCTCACTCCTGGTGTGTGAGATTTTGAGGTGATTGTTGCAGATGTGGGAAGTGTCAATCTCTCAGGTAGATGTTTACCCTGGAGACTTTGACCGCTCGATTGCCAATGTCAAACATTTGCAGTCCACCTCTCAATGCGAATCTGACTTGTCATGCCTAAACGACGGCTCAAATCCATGCCCAACCACTGATGCAGGCACGTCGAAGCTGTCGGTCGGATGAGTGACCAAGATTGAAAGGAAAAGGACCTCGTTTGGAAGATGGTACACAAAGCCAAAGAAACAACACAGTACCAATTTGCGGGGTGCTCTATTTTGAGAAACTCCCATGTATGACCGTGTGAGGCAATCGCTGGGAATGGGTCAAAAGAGTAGGTTGGTTGCGGGAGTTTGAATGTTGGGAACCCAGAAAAAATAAGCCCCTGGTTGCAAAAAACCAAGGGAAGAAGGGGTTCCTGCAAATGGCTGGTTTCATGCTGAGTTGCTTTGTACGCTGAGGCGAGCAGAGGTCTCAAGTTTTGACAAGCAGCCAGCTGTCGTATAATCAACTGACCCAGAAGCCTGATCAGCCTGAGAAAAGCATTGCCATGTGCAATTGCTGGTTCCACCGGAACACACAGCACCAGAAGGGCGGCCGGAAGTGAGGCAAACAAAAGGAACTACCTCAACTAAAAGGAAACTGCCTGGATAGTAACTCCTGGCTGGACAAATCTCTTTGAGTGCCTTGAGACGCCAGGCGTGTAGCGGCCGGCCTTGGCGCGTTGAGCCTCTTGCCGGCGGCGCAAAAGGCCAGAGCTGCAGGCTTGGGGCCACACCACATGGGTTGGAGTGAGGCTGTGGGGAGGGAAGAGTAGGATGCATTTTTCATTTG